AAACATATCCTTCTCTATTTCATTCATATTAAAGACTTTTTGGTTAATTAATATAATTTCTGTGATGGTTAATTTTATGTGTCAACTTGACTGGGCTCAGGGACACCCAGATAAGTGGTAAAATATTATTTCTGGGTGTGTCTGCAAGGGTGTTTTTAGGAGAGATTAGAATTTTGATCAGTAGACTGAGTAAAACTAATTGCCCTCACCAATGTTAGTGGGCTTCATCCAATCTGTTGAGGGTTCAAATAGAAAAAAATGCAGAGAAAGGTCAAATTTATTCTCTCTGCTTAAGCTAAGACATTCTTCTTCTCCTGCCCTTGTCATTGGTACTCCTGGTTCTCAGGTCTTTGAAACTGGACTGGGACTTATACCATTGCCTGCTCCCCACCTCCCACAGCCACCCTCTGGCCCTGGGTTCTTGAGCTTTCAGAATTTGACCAGAAGTTCAACACTGGCTTTGCTGGGCCTCCAGCTTTCATTTAGTAGATCGTGGAACTTCTCAGCCTTCATAATCACATAAGTCAATCCCTCATAATAAATCCCCTACATATCTATCATCTACCTATCTATCCTATTGGTTCTCTTTCTCTGGAGAACTCTGACTAATAAAGGTATCAACAAGAAGTCTATGTATACAGATGCAGGTGTGGATAGGTGAAGTGATGTGGTGGTAGAAGTCAGTGAAAGTTCACTTTTGATACCTACAATTTTCTAGTAAAATATAAAGTAACAGAAAAGTTGGGATGGGGAAGTGGTGTTGGGAGTTTGAGGAGAGAGAAAGTATGAAATCATAACTTAAAACATTTGGAAAGTTAAGGGAGAGTGGGGCTATTGAGTAATTGAGTAATTTACTGGCAGCATTAAGGGCCTGGTTGAAGTTCATGTTAGTCAAGTTAAAGTTATCCATGTGGTTGTGCATTTTCCTCCAGCTAGGTTTAGCTGTGTGGGTTCAAGCTCCTTGAGGTGTATTTGGTTTAGTCATGGTTATGATTTTTCCAAGGAAACAATACAAAGTGAGAGAGGGGTAGAAGAGTACAGGGTACATGTAAACAAGTGTTAATGAAGACTGAACATAACATTTAAGCTGGGGAAGGAGGGGAGAAAAATCAATAAGGGAGCAAGGGATGATGAAATCTGATAAGATCTATGGGTTGGAGATTTTGGTGAGTTTGAAAGAAGGTGGGATTCTGAGTGAGCTGAAAAGAAAGGAGGTGATAGAAAGAGGAATGTTTGAAATTGAGATTATGGAGAAGTTGCTAAAATAGCTATGACAGGGCCCAGGGTATGACCATGTGAGTGAGTAGCTGAGATGGGGTTAAAGACAATGTCATAAAGGAGAAATGTTCAAGGAACCGAGGGAGTCAGTGTGTCAGAATGGTTGTTCTTGAGCTCACCAGGAATTAGGACAGTACTACTTCATTGAGAGTGACCATATTCCAGGAGCTAAAATCTTCAAAATATAAGGAGAGATGGGAAACTGAAGTTTGGTAGATGACAACAATAAAGGCTAGTTGGTGATAAGCTGCCAAAAGCCAGCAGCTTTTAAAGATGTGAGAGAGGAATTGCCTAAGGCAACAATAAGAAGGAAGAAAGACATTTATTCAACCTTCAGGTTCTGTGGTACAGTGGTGGTGTGAGAGAAAAATCATATACTTCTCTTGAGTGGGCTGCAGGGGACACAGAGTCCTCAGAGGGAGAGCCTGGTTTCTGTAGGGGAAGACAATAAAGGACACATTTAGAGAAGAGGTTGAGGATATAGGGGAATTACTGAGGGTGCATTTTGTTTTAGGAATAGGGAAGGGGTGTGAGAAATAAACTAGGGAAGGGATGTGGTCACAGCTTTATGGAGGTTAAAATGAAGGATCCGAGGGGTGTCATGGGGGATCTCAAGGTTCTTGTGGTAACTGGCATAAATGAAGATAAACATCATTATTAGGTGAATTCTGATAGATTCAAGGCAGATAGATTCAAGGCAGATTTTGAATTTTGGGCTATGGTGGGGTGGTTGGGTGTCTGGAACTTCCTGTTGACCCCAAGTAATGTGGAAATTCAGTCTTACACGTGGAGCACTGGACCACACAATGTACTCTGTCATTCTTAGAAACAGAGATTGCATAAATCAGTAATGATAGAAAAATAGTCTAGAAACTGCACTTCACATTCAAGATTGGACCACCTCTGGGGAAGTGGGAGAGTAAATGGACACAAGGTAAGGTTCAAGGGAACCTCAGTTTTTCTGTACTATTTTTATTCTTTAAAAAAAGTAAATAAACCAAAATGTTAAAAACATTCAAACCTGAGTCATGGAAACATTGGTGTTTATTATATTTAGTGTCTGGGACATTGTAGGCACTTAATAAATATTATTTGTTGAATGAGGGTGGCTTTCTGCTTTAAAAATTTCTTCAACAAACATACAAAACTCTCAAATTAACACGAAGTGCACAAGAACACAGAAAAAGGAATGAATGGAGAGAAGTGAGAAGGGCTTGAGAAATCCTCATGGACAGAGTGGATGCTGATCTATGCAGAGTATCTTTACCACCATACATGAACCATATGGCAAATATTGGATACAAGCTAAAAACATCGTCCTATCTCCATCTTACCTTAATGCTGTAAGGTTCTGTGTGAGTATCCAGAAAATGACTTTGAACATTTAGTCCTTTCAAGTAACTACTGGATCCTCACTTTCCTCGCACAACATGGACACTGGGTGGGTGCTGCTGTCCCAAATTTCCGCTCTATCACAGATGTATTACTTCAATCTATAGACAGGTATTTAGTGTCTTCTGTGGCCAAGCAAAGTGCTAGGGATTGGGAGATAAATGATGAATAGCCTCAGTAGATCCTCCTGTGATTACCCTAAACTGACTACTACCACGTTCAGTGGCTGAGAAAATTGAAAATAGGACTTTTACATAGAAGAGCACCACTGTGACAGAAAAGTTCAGCCGTGGGGGTGAATGACTGAACTGTCCACCCTCTCAAGGAGCTCCCCTCCTCCACGACCTGGCCAAGGATTTGAACAGACGCCACTGCGCATTATTTCTAAACCATTGTTTGGTTATCACAGAGTACTTAGACTCTATGGCTATAAAACCCGGTTCCAGACGTTGGAACCTAACTGGGCAAGAAAGAAGCGCTTGCTTATTGTAGAGGACCCAATTATATTGGAAGAGTGAGTGAACTTGGGAAGGAGGGAAGTGGATCCTTAGCAAGAAAATAGTGGGAGAGACTGGGGAGGCAGGCAGGCGATCCCTCGGGGAATCAGAGAAAGCTTAGACAGTGTCTGGGGAGGTGGCTCCAGTATGACGTCATCAAGACACTGATGCAGGAGAGAGGTCCTGAATAGAGGGGAGACAGTGGACTCAAGCCTACAAGACGAAAGCCCGGGAGAGGGGGAGTTGGGGGCAGCGAAGAGGAGGGCCTGGGATCCCTCAGCCAATCAGAAGTGGTTGGGGCGGGGTCCGGAGCGGGGTCGGCTCCGCGACTTATAACTGCAGGGTGCCACGCAGGAAGGTTAACCTCGTCCAGTGTGTGGAGTGGCGTTGGTCCAGCCGTCCTCCTTTCAACCGTCTTCAAGCCATCAGGTGAGGACCTGCCGTCCCGGCGGAGCCGGAAGACTATGGGGAGGGCGCAGCAGCTGCAGGGCTGAAGGGGTCGGTCTCTTGGGAACTGGTGGGGTTGAGTCGGAACTGGGGTTTTCTAACTGCGCCTCCTAGAGAGTCCGCGCCTTTGTCTTTTGCGGCGCGGCCTCTGTGCGTTGCGGAGTCCTCCCAGGGTGGGTCCTTGGAAGGCCGGAGGGGGCGGCCTGTCTGCGGTGGCTGCACGCCCGAGACTTAGAGGAATATGGGTGCTGCCAGGTTTGGACCCTCTGGAGCTGGCCCTTTGCGTTCTCCCTTCCTGTGGCCAAAAAGTGGGCTGTGCGCCCAACAAAGATGACGGTTATTTTAAAATGTAAGCGAAGTGCTCCTGACAAAATGGCCCATGCGCCCAGCCCTTTTTAATTTATTTGTTAGTCCCTGTTTTCCTACCTCTGGAGATGGGCGACTGGTCGCTCATCAGAAGGTCTTGGGGTGACGATGGAAGGGAGGCATACTCGGGACTTCTGGCTGTTTGGGGGCCTCTCCATTCTACTCCGGGCACTAGACGTGTCTTAACTTCACCAGAATGGGTTTGTTTTCTGGTCTCTGGGGTCTTCAGTTGTCTCTGCTCAGATAAATCCAGAATGGTCACAGGGCACCTCATCTCCTAACCTCTCCTTATGCAGAGAAAACATGATGAAGTAAAAATCAACTCTATTTGGTTTATCCCTCAGCTGAAGTCTTTGGTCTGATCCTAATTAGCTGTGTCTTCTACCAGCATTTACAAACCAGTGCCAAAAGGAGCTAATATGAGACATGTAATTAGTTATAACTGCATTAAATCCTCTCCCTCTCTTATTGTGGCTCCTGAATCTATCTTTGGGCAGATAAAATGGAAAGAAACTAGTGCAACTTATGCCACCTTTTTTTTAACCCTTTTTTTTTACGCTGCTTCTTACTCTCCAAGAAAAATGTCCCAAATTAATTGAATGCAATATAAATTTGCTCAAATAAGTGCTGTGTCTTGTTACAAAATCATTAGTTGGTTAAACACAGTCCTTATTTTTCTTCTATCGCTATCTCTTCTTGTGCTTCTGTCACCTCCATTTGACCTCAGCTCTGATGTAAAAGAGTCAGACATACTGACTCTGGATTTTAGTGCATCTGGGTTTCTAGTGCATCCTGATTCAGGCTTTTACTGCTTATCGGAAATGGGGTAGTGATGTGTAATTCAAAGTATTCTAATAAAAACATGACTTTTCTAAGATGTGTGCTGTTTTCTTGTTGAAAATCAGCAGATAAAATACGCATTGATATTAAATATGAGAATTATTGGCTGTGATTCCTTAGTATGACATTAGTTCTGCTGATTTTAAGTTAAAACTTTTTTCAGTCTTTCTTTTAGTCAAGATGAGTGATAAGTCAGACTTGTCTGAAGTGAAGAAGTTTGACAGGTCAAAACTGAAGAAAACCAATACTGAAGAAAAAAATACTCTCCCTTCATAGGAGAGTAAGTCATGGGACTGGGGGTTTCTAGTGGAGAAAAACAATGGTGAACATTTATAGGCTCAGTAAATAAACTATTCCAGTAAATTTTCCCACTGACTAAGCAATAATTAGAGTACCATTGTATTTAATGCAACAGTTAAAAATATCAAATAGTTGTTTTCTTACTTCAGTTATATAAGTGGTTCTCACATGACAGACCCAAGAAGTAATGGGAAAATAAAAATCTAGTTTCTTGTTGGAAAACTACTAAAAATCTCATTATAACTAATCTTGGAATATTAGACTAAGGACTAGAAAAGTCTTAGTGTCGTCCACTTTATGGTTATTAGGCATTTTCTGCATCTAGCAGGTTGGGTCCATGATTTCATTCCTAAAGAACCACACAAGCTGCAGTATTGGCTTTTTCTACCTGATTGACAAGATAAGGTAGAGAAAAAGTTTAGATGTGGGGGGCACTCAAAGTTCCCAGACTCCAAAGGATCAGATTTGCCCTTGGGAATTACAGCCTGATAGAAAAACTCCAAGCATATTCACAAACGTTTTGTCAAGTCAGTGTTATTTGATAATACAGTTAAGTCAGAAGTACCTGAAAGGGTATAACTTCCTAATTATGTAGTGATAGATAAATCTGAGGAAAATGCTTCACTTCCTCTTCAGTCTCAGAATAATCTATGGAAAAAATGGCATTAGTGTAAATCTGCCTCTTATATGGAAAAAAAAAACATGTGGTTGATGTATGTTCTCATAAATGTTCTGGTGGTTAACATGTGTGCACATGCAACACAAACACTCAACTGGGGATTTGTGGTTAGTGCCTTAGTCTTCTTAATTTAAAGCAGATATGGCAGGCTTCAATAACTTGGCAAATAACGCTTGGAAGAAAACTGAACTTACTCATAGGAATATGCCTTCTTAATGTTTTTTTTTTATGTGTTTCTTCCACCCCCCACAGCTATCCAACAAGAGAAAGAGTGTGTTCAAACGTCATAAAATGGGGATCTCCTTCCTACACCAAATTTCAACATTGCTTAAATATCTCAGTTTGGGGCTTGTTTTATAAAAGCCTACATGTTTGTAGAGATTTTAGGCATCTTCTGATTTCTTCCCACCTGTATCCCAGCCAATATTCCCTTTTAAAAATTTTCCATTGATACATACATGCCATCTGGAAGGTGCTGTCAATAATCTTACCATTTATGACCTTTGTTTGTGTATTCCTTGCATCCCCAAAAGTTAAGCTACTTTTAACTTTCTACAGTGGATGGATCTGCTGTTCGACGATATTCATGAAGTGGCATGCATTTGTAACTTCTCAGTTTATTTTCATTTCTAATGTAGTGATAAAATAATAAGTATAGTCATTGTGTTGAGACTCTGGTGGCCCATTCTTGGTGGTCTTCTAAGGAATGAAAGTGCACCAAAGATACTCATTTTAGCCAAACAAAATGGTTTAAAGAAAGCCACTTTAGGAGATTAGTCACAGGGAAAAGTCTCTCCTTTGTCCAGGTCCAGTGGATTCTGACTTGGGAATGCTAGGTGCTTTTCCATAGAGTTGGAATCATGGTTCTCCCATGAGAACCCCGGGAGAGGAGGTAACATGCACTAGCTTCCTTTTCTTGGAAGTGAGAAAATGAAAACACAGGGTCTGAAGTGATCTAAGGCAAATAAGAGCTGGGATGTTTAAACTGGGCTCTCTCACTTTCTGTAATGTGCTTTTCAACTTAATAGAAGGAGACCCCTGACACTGGGGTTTGATGGGAGAAAGGGGAAAGAGGCACATGCTAGCATACATCCTGCTAAGCACATCACATCTATTGAACACAAATTCAGACATCTAATTCTGCTAATCCTGCTAATCCTGCTAATGATCTGCAACACTGAATCTCTGCTCTCATTTTTGTCTGGAACAGAATTTACTGTCTTCTGAACCAATTATTTTTGGTGGTCACGGTGAGCACAAAGCGTGTGTGTGTGTGTGTGTGTGTGTGTGTGTGTGTGTGTGTGTGTATTCCATTCTGTATTCCATTCCTTATCTTAAACAATACTTTTATCAACTTTCAAATTGTAAAAAGCAATCCCTAACATCCCAGCAATTAGAATTGTTAACATTTGGGTGTTTAACCATCCAAACTATAGTCTCTTAATACCCATGTCTTTTACTACAAAAATATTATTCTCTTCATACCTATTTGAAACCTCAAGTATTACATTACCCCTTTCTGATGGATTACATATTTAAATAACCACAGGAAGTGGAAGCTGTTTTCTTTGCCAGAGCATAAACTTCCATAAGCAAAAGAGTATGTAGGACAACTCTGATCAATTGTCAGTGGGATAGCACAGTCATGGGGCTTAGTGTAACTAGAGGATTTAAGACTTGGAAGCAATCATGTTGATCACCAACGCCTTATCTCTTGACTAAAACAATCATCCAGTAGAGTTATTCAACCCCTTGCAGTGACCTGATTATTATACTGTGCCCAAATCTGCCTTCCTATAACTTCTATCCAATAGTCCTAGGACTGTCTACTGGAGGCTCACACAACATAGTAATACCTGCTCCAATATTTGAAGTCACCTGTTGTGTGTCTGTTCCTGTACCTCTGTCTTTTCCACGTGACAATTCTCAGATCCTTTGGATCTAAGTTACATGTATGAGGAACCATACTGTTTGTTGATGTGCCCAAATTTGCTCATTATCAGATCTCTTTGAATCCATATTCTGTCATCCAACACATTTGCTCTCTTTTCAGTATTGCCACTTGCAAATTTGAGAAACGTGTTGTAAATCCATGATAAATTCAATAACTTCTACATTTGTGTACTAATCCAGCACAAGATTAGGCCCATTTCAAAGAGTCTAAAGGAAAACATGAATGTTGTCGGGTGAGATGGGGTAGACAATTACTTCCATTGTTCAGTTTCATCTGGTAACCATTCTTTACATTAAGGTATTGATTCCACTCTGGGCAGTGTAAGTGCTAAACTGAATGGGAGCAGATGAGAAATACAAAGACTTATAGTTGCTAAGTGAATACTCCTACAGACACAAGATGAGAAAAATATTTGCCCATCTAGATTAGTTTTACCCTGTATTTTTAAATATATAATATGGAGATAGTCACTAGATTCACTTGGCTGTCCAAATAGGGGGAGATTTTTTCTAATAAGCCATTATGAGCATTGAAATCTAGGGTACTGAATTAATTTATTGCAAATCTGGAGGAGGGTTATCATCAGGATGGTGACATAGGTTGTTCCTGACTTCAGTGCCCCTCACAAGAAGACTAACCATCCATAGACAGACACTATTGTGAAAATCCCAGGACTTGGGGCTGAGGCTGAAGACTCACCAGGATCATAAAGACCAAGGACTATAAAAGAAGAGCACTAACACCATTATTGTATTGTTCCTCCCTCAGGATGGTAAAGCACTGCACTTAGAAGTACCCCCTCAGCTTATGGTTTCTCCAATGGGAAGAAGAGAGCTTTTCCAGTGTAGTGGGGACACTTCCTAGGAGGCCCACTTGGGTCTCATTTCACAGGGATCACTGTGGAAGTCTCCAGGTCTTGACCACCAGACAACAGACAGAGACAGAAGGTGAGCAGGACTTACAACTAGTGCTCAGTCTAGGCAGACAGCATTCCTGTCTGCAGTGGTGCCTGAGCAGAGATCTTAGCCATTGGTTTTGCTCATGTGCAAAGTTGAGCTTGTGGCCATGTGTCTGGCCATGGAAGTTAGTTGATAGTTTTGCCTAACTTGGGTCTCCAGCTAATGAGCCATATGTGCTGTTGAGCCCCTTCTATGGCTTTGCCTGTGTAGGAAAGCAAATTCACAGGCCCAGACAGCAAATTCACTGGCCCACCCAACCAATAAGTATATCCTCTAGTCCCATAGAGTAGGACATCTGGACAGAGAACCTGGAGAGAAGTGGAGCCCATCCTACAGTTCTGCTTGGGCATGGATTCAAGTCGGCAATCTTGCCCAATTGTGAAATATAAATCATTAAATATAGCCTTTGGCCTCACATAATCAAGGAGTGTGAACAGTGACCCTGGGTAGTCTTAGATCACATCATTTGGTACTGCCTAGCTGCACAGCCAGGCCTACAGCCCTGCCCTGCAGCAGAACCTAGCTTACAGCCTTGCCTGATTGTTGAACATAGTTTACAGCCTTAAACAGGCAGGAAGCCCAGCCAGCAGCCTTGCTCAACAGACAGAGGTTCCGTCTGACCATGAAGACCTGCCTGTGGCCATTCCTAAACAGTCCTGCCAGTGACACCAACTGGTCGGAAAGCATAACTGGATAAACAGATCTTATCTGGCCAGGAATGATTGTGGAATATAGTTTGCAGTCCTTCCCAATTGTAGAGTCCAACCCCATGGCACTGTCCTATCAGGCAGCACATCCTGTGAGTTTACCTAAACCAAGGTAATTGCAGAGCCCAGGTAGTGTCCCCATGTGGCTGCAGAATACTACCAGAAGTGCCATCTGACCAGGCAGCCTGTCCAGTGGAATTTCTTGTATCTGGAACCCAGCCAGTAGGCCTACGTAAATATGGAGTCCAGCCTGTGTCATCCCCCTGGCCTCAGAGCATGAGCAGTGGCCTCACCCAAAAAGAGACTTTGTTAGCAAGACATACCTGCTTATGGATCCTGTTGCATGTAATTCCTCCCAGGAATTTCCCTGGTGTAATTTTAAACCAGCCCCCCATACACAGAGGGTAGAGAGAGACTGAAGAAAAAGACAGGCCACTCCAAGTTAGTAGGGAGTTTTAATAAGCAAAGTTTTAATAAGCCAAGGGAACTTACATATGGGGCTTCTCTTGGTTGTCAGTAAGAAATGGATCCCTACATGTGTCAGCCAAATCTTAAAAGTTTGTAAAGAAGCCCTAACTGGGTTCAGTCACATATATCATGTGGGTGTTCTCGACATGACATCATAATCTCAACACCATGTGCTTGGAGTGGCCTCTGAGAATGGGAAATATAAGTAAAGCCCGCATTCCAAGGACAGGGGAGGAGATGAGACACCTCTGAATGCCTGGGTCCAGCTCATGGGTCAGTTGGTGGTCACATCTTTTTGATGACATTCTCCAACTGATGCTATCTGCTGACCCATCCAGTACCCTAAAGCTGAGCTGACTGGTTGAGGTCTTTCTCTGGCAAAGTGAACCTATAAAGTCTGTAAGAGGAGATAGCTTACCCAATCATGCAGATACCAATGCAAATAATTAAGAATCACAGAATTATGTATAAGTACTATCAAAAGAAGAAACTAAAACTCTTCTATAACTCACTATAAAGAATATGAATTGTCTGAAAAGAATTCAGAATAATCCTTTTTAAAAAGTTTAGTCCACTACAGGAACACACAGACAGACAAAATAACACAAGAAAAACAATGCATTGGGGTTCCTGGGTGGCTCAGTCAGTTGAGTATCTGACTCTTCATCTTGGAACAGGTCATGATCTCAGGGTCATGAGATTAAGTCCCTTGTTGGGCTCCATGCTGAGCCAAATGGACCTAAAAGACATATACAGAACATTCCATCTTACAGCCACAGAATACACATTCTTCTCAAGTGCACATGGAACATTTTCTAGGTTAGATCATATGTTTGGTCACAAAACAAGTCTCAACAAATTTAAAAAGATAGATATTATTTAGTTTTTGCAATCACAATGGAGTGAAACTAGAAATCTATAACAGAAGTAAACCTGTAAAATTCACAAATGCATGGAAATTAAACATTACATTACTGAACAACTAATGGATCAAAAAATTTTAAAAAAGAACTAAACTATTTTAAGACAAGTGAAAATGGAAACACAACATACAAAAGCTTACGGAATACAGCCAAAGCAGTTCTAAGAGGAAAGTTTATAATGATAAAGACATGCATCAAGAAGAAGCAATAATCTCAAATAAACAACCTAACTTTATGCCTCAAGGAACTAGCACAGTAAAAGGATCATGCACCATGATC